CTCTCTCTCTCTCTCTCTCTCTCTCTCTCTCTCTCTCTCTCTCTCTCTCTCTCTCTCTCTCTCTCTCTCCTTCTCTCTTCTCTCTTGCTCCGCCCCTCTCTCTCTCTCTCTCTCCCGCACACTCTCTGGTCCTCACTCCGCGCCCTCGAGTGCTCGCCGCCGGCTCGCTCGGAGGCTTTGCGCTTTGTTTGGCCCGCGAGCCCGCTTTGCGGCACCGAGAGGCTTCCCTCACGTTCTTCGGGTCGGTGACGACGCCAGCGGCTCCTCCTCCTGAGGTGGGTTTGTTCATGCTTGAAGACCCACCATCGCCTTAGTAATGAGCGCTTGTAGGCTCGGGGATCCGACTTCAGTCTCTGCACCTTGCTAGCCGACTTGTTGCAGTCATAAGAAAAACAACAAAGGTCCCTTTCTCTTCCTCTCGCTCTCTCTCCTTCTCTCTCTCTCTCCCTCTCTCTCTCTCCCTCTCTCTCTCTCCTTTTCTCTCTCTCCCTCTCTCTCTCTTTTTCCTCTTCTCCTTCTTTCTCCCTCTCACTCTCTCTCTCTTTTTCGTGGACCTGGAGCCGAGCGCGCCTGACCTCAATGCCGTGCCCGTGCGTGAGTCTCCAGCTCGGCCTACTTTGAGATCACCGCGTCTCGATGGTACCTTTGCGAGCGTTCCGGTTCCTCCTTTTTGCACGTTCTTCATGCCAGGTTCAGTGAGGTCTGGCCTCGTGAGCCCTCTGGCCTTCGACTTCCGCTACCCCGGCGATGGCCCTGTGCAGCTAGACTTCACTCGGCGGCGAGCGACCCCCGTCCCGACTCAAGCGCTCTCCCCTCTTCGAGCACGGAGCTCCCTCTTCGACCATCCTCAACTCTCGTCCGTTAACACGCACTTCCTGCCGCTCGAGAGCGTTCGCTTTGACGAGTGTGCCCCGACCTTCTTACGGCTGCAGGGGCCGTTTGCTCAACCCACCGTCTTGGAGGAACCCACTCCTATCTCTCTCCCTCTCTCTTCTCTCGATCTCTTGGGCGTTAACTGGTATCGAGCGTCGTGGGTTCGGTACCCGCGCTCTCACTTCGTACTCCCCAACCCGGCTCCCCTCCCCAACCCGGCTCCACTCTTCTTCTCTTTTTATACTTCTCGCCCCAACCCGGCTCCCCTCTTCGTTGTCGACCCCTTGCCCCGCACCCCCTTCCAACTGTGTCTCCTCCATCGGGTGTGATGCAATCAAAATTTTCATTCCCGCTGAGAACCACGGAAATGAAAATTTTGATTGCATCACACCCGACGGAGGAGACACAGCTTTGGTCGCTCGTTCGAAACACCTTTCGCAACCGCTTCCTCCTTTTCTTGGCCAATCACCATGTTTAGCTCACCTTTTTCGGGATTGGTTGTAGCTTCTCCTTCTACTTCCTTGCCGCGCTCTGCTTTTTTTTTGTTACTTGCCAAAAAAAAATTCCCAGCCTTGCATCCTTCCGCCTACCGCGTGGATTTCCTCACCTTCTCTTCTTGATCCATCTTTTCTCACCTTCGCCAATCCCAACACCCCTTTTCTCATTCCTTCCGGATCTTATAGGATGTTTCGGCGGTGCCGTTCTTGCCAGCTTCCGAGCGAGCTTCTTGCGTTCTCCGGACTCCGATCTTGGTTCTTTTTCCCTCTTTTTATCTGCCTTGCCATCTCACCTCGGAGCGCGTCTGGCCCTGGGCCAGCTCACGATCCGACAGGTACCAAGAAAACGCGCCCGCTCTCTCTAGCCACAATCGCTTCTCTACCCGCAGGCTTTTGCCCATCCATCTGTTCCCCTAGCTTCCTCCCCTCTTTCCCACCTGGCCGATCCTCATTCTTCCTTGTTCGCCAACCTCTTCCGTCCTTGGTTCCTTCGTCGGATCAGCCCCGAGCCTCCCCACCGTCATTTTGTCTTCCCACGGTTAAGCCTAAGTTTGACTAGGCAGCCCGTTTTTATCACACGGTGGCCCCCTGTACATATTGCCAACGTAGTGCCATCTCACCTCACCCATATTTTGCTACCTCACCGGCTCAGCCCGCCTCCAGCCCTTGCCACCATCCCTCATCGTAGGAGAATCGACCTCCGACCTTAGTCAATAGAAGACAGCTCGCAGCGGATCGACCCTGCATCCAGCCCCGAAGCCGATCCCACCAGTCTTTCCCCCCGAAGCCGGCTTCTTCATTAATCACCATACTCCGCGGAGGCGGCCAAGCGCACGGATTCCTTCCCGCGCTATACTGTAGTGATTAGCCCGAAAGGCGGCCGCCCGAGTCGCCCCGCAACCGGCCCCTGTCATACCATTTCTGCGGCGGCAACCCCTACACGTCATGCCGACATCGTTTTGCAGGTCTCGTCATTCACGGCTCCCTTCTTCACCTGTGACCGATCGGCTGTCATGTAGCCGCGCCCAAGGTGGAGCCTGCTATGATAATTATCCACACATCTCCGCATCCCACAGTCTCACACCTCGGACCAGGGTTCCAATACGTTTGTGGTAACCCGACTGCTTCCCATAACCGTCGTTAAGGAACCCACCATCTCACCGTGACTCGGCTACCTCTATCATACAGATCTGATCTCATGCAGTGGCCGTATCGGAACTGATCCCTTCGCTTCATCACACACCGAAGGCGGCAGTCGAGCCGTTCCTTCAAAACTGTCCATCACCTCATTGGAGGTTATTCACCTGAGCCACCCACCTTGGCGCGACGACCCGTCCCAAGCTTGCCACCAGACCTCCGACGAATGTCCCTCCTTCCGTACTGCAGACCCATGGCTAGGTATAATCAAGCCCTGTTATGTGCGACCGTAGTAGCCCAACTGTTGCTTATAGTCAAAGCCCGGGTCCCTTACAGGTTCCTTTATTTTCGGGTCCCCCATGGTCCGCCCCAAAGTCCACCACTAGTCCCAGTTTCCCTGAGCCTGGCATTCAAACTTCGGTTTTTGGAACCCGCGCGACCCAGCTTGTGGCCGTCGCTCTGGCCACCTTTCCTGCTTGTCCGAAGGTTAGTGTGGGCCTTCCAACCCCAATGATCTCCCCAAAACCCCTCAGTCACATGCATTCATACGTCAAAACTATGCGAAAATCAAACAGCAAAGGCAAAGTCCTTCCCTTTTTCTTTAGAGAAGTATCCGGATGTTAGACAACCGCCTGACACTGGTACCAGTCCATCCAGTCTGAGTGTAGGGCCTGTACGGGCAATATCAGAGTCTGCAATGATGTTTCCCTCCGAAAGGGAGGAGGTACCAGTTGCTTGGGAGGCCGAGCGGCCCGGAAGTCACCGCCCAGGAGGTAAGTAGGCCGCTATATCAGGAGGCTGAGGGAAGAGCCCGGCCTCATTCTTCAGTGTGCAAGTTTGGCGACACGCTGCTGGAGTGCTGGCTACTACAGCGCTGATGGGAGGAAGAAGCTGGGAGCTTCCAGGCTATGGTGGAGCTCTACCGGTAGGAGAAGGAGGGAGAAGGGGACCAAGGAGGAGAGTGGCGGGGTACCTACCTGGCTATAGGGGACACCATCTTCATCACCTTGTTAGGCGCTGCATCTGGAAGGTAGTGCCGCATCAAGGAAGCTCGGGACAGAGTCAGGCATGACCGTTTAGTGGGCAGTGGCATAGCTGCCTGATGTTGACCTTGGGACAGGAGGGCAGCGACATAGCTGCTTTGGGTTGTCCTTTGGACAGGAGGGTAGAGCCCTCAGTGCTCCGCCATAGCCTCGGCCTGCATGAAGAGGAAGAGGAAGGGTGGCCATGGCTATGGTGGATCTCATGTTGTGCCTGCAGTAGAAGTGGGATTTGGACATTGATTCTGGTTCAGCCATTCAACATTATAATTGTTATTCCTTGTTTGAATAAGAGGGGAGGAGATAAGGAGGAGGAGATTGGTTGGCGAAGAAGAAGAGCATTATCTTTGGTCTATGCTGGAGTACGTCATCATCTTCTTCTTTCTTACTTCTTCTTTCCCTCTCTCTCCTCTCAAGTTCATTCATTTATTTTTGCAATTGGACGGCATTGTACTTTCTGATGAATGTATACTTTGAAATTGGCCAGGATCGTAACACTCATCAGATTTGTGTTTTTTTTTTTTTCTTTTATTGCCTTTGTTTTTGCTTTTATCAGCAGGTCCGCCGAGAAAGCCTCCATGGATTCCGGATGCTCATCCCCCACCGCCAAGTAATGGTTTTAACGATGGCCGGTTTAATGGACCAGATACTGGATTCTCAGTGGCTACCGCTCACCCAATGCCTACAGGGTCTGTGCCGTTTTCAGGTCCTGGTCCAGGAGCAGGTACAGTTCCATTACATCCAATGCAGGGAACGAGAATGCCCCCAAGGCCGCCTTTCCATGGCGACAGTTTTTCAGGAGGGCAGTCCGTTGGAAGTGGGGGATTATCCGATAGTAGTCGGCAACCGAATGTGGAGCAGACGGTGAATCATTTCGCTCCAACGCCTACTCCTCCGTTCAGTCACGAACTGACTCCTCAATATGCATATGGTGGAAGATCGGGTCCAAATTCGCGAACAAGCAGCCAGCCCGATACCGCCTTCACAGATGAGACGGTGGTGCATGCAATTAACCCAGGAACACCGATGCAGAAGCCGCCTCTAGCCCCGCCATGGCTGGCCCGTAGTAACCCCACCACGCCGGACACGGGGTTTTCCATGATGCCTCCCACAGACGAGACGATCATCCATCCCAATTGGGAGCCCGGTAAGGGCACAACGGCCAAACTGGAACCGGGAAGACCAAGGGGTAGCGTGCATCCCGTTAACCAGCCGAGAGATGGCAGGCCTACCGGTTCCATCGGTAGCCAGAGTGGATTTCTGGGAGCGGCGGGAAATTTGCCGGTCCCAAATCCGTTGACAGATGAGACGATAATCCACGAAGGGCCACCACCCGTGGTCAGTGCAAGGACCCTGTTTCCCATGCCTGTGGAAAGCTCTAGAAGCTATGGTGGGGCAGGTGGAGCCCCACGTTGGGTGGTTCACCCTCGTGCCCCTTCTCCCATGAGTAGCCGAAGTGAGGGGGCAGCCAGGGTACCCGAGCCTAGTGATAGAGCGCGACAGGATCAACAAGGTGAGGAGAAGGATGGAAACTTCTTAACTCATGGGAGTGAGCATTCGGTCTCTTCTAGGCCCACGGATTCGCTCCCAGCGGACAGCAAGCCCCTCCAGTATCCTCTCCAGTACGAACCGACCACTAACGAGGTGCCGACGTGGATTCTCGGAGCACCGATTGAACGACCGTCAACGCTAAGTTCCGACAATGTTGCAGATAAAGTTATTGGTGACGATTCAAGTGTTGGCTCGGTACACTCTTCTGGTGTGCAAACCTATGGTAATGGACGCACTTCAACGGTTGGGAGTGTGGTTGCCGCAGCCGACCCTCCCCATCCAAGTACACCTCCTTCTCCTCCTCCTCCTCCCCCCCCTGCTCTTCCTCCTGCTTCTGGTTCTCCTTCTACTTCTCCCCGTCCTTGTCCTCCACTGCCACCGGTACTTTTTCAGAGTGACATTGATGCTCCTGGGGCCGTTTGGGCTGATCAGAAATGGCCACGTAAACTCCGCTACGACGAGGTGTGCGCGATAACGACTGATTTCTCTCCACAGTCAATCATTGGCAGTGGAGGGTTCGGAAAGGTGTTCAAAGGCACTCTCCCTTCTGGAAAGCTGGTTGCTGTCAAGCGGATGGAGCAGGGTAAACAGGGCAAACACGAGTTCCAAAATGAGATGGAGCTGCTGCAACGTGTCAGTCATCCCAACCTTGTGGCGATTCTTGGGTGGTGCAACGACAAGGAAGAAAGGCTCCTCGTGTACGACTACATGCCAAACGGCTCTCTGCACAGCTTGCTACATGGTGCGCTTTCCCCGTGGCATCTTTTGTTTGCCTGTGCTATACTCCACCCCCATCGCCCCTTGCCGTCCCCCTTCTCCTTCCCCCTGGGCCCTTCTTCTCTCTCCTGGGTTCAGCTTGAGAATCTTGCCTGATCTGCGCCCGACCTGCACAGACTTTGTCTGGGTGCTCGGCTGGCCGGTCTTGTTAGTCCGGTGTCACGGAAACTTAGTGTGTTTGAGTCACAGCCTTTCTTTCTGTGCTTGCTCATTCTGTAACGTTTGGAGGGAAAGAAAAGAAAGCCGTCATCGTTGGTGTAGTCGTTGTATTGTTGTCGTTGTTGCTGTTCTCGTCGTTGCCATTGTTGTTGTTGTGTTTGTGTTTGTAGTTGTTCTTGTTGTGTTTGTGGTTGTTGTGTTTGTGTTTGTAGTTGTTCTTGTTGTGTTCACTGTTGTTGTCGTCGTCGTCGTCGTCGTCGTCGTTGTTGTTGTTGTTGTTGTTGTTGTTGTTGTTGTTGTTGTTGTTGTTGTTGTTGTTGTTGTTGTTGTCATTGTCGTTGTCGTCGTCGTCGTTGTTGTTGTTGTTGTTGTTGTTGTTGTTGTTGTTGTTGTTGTTGTTGTTGTTGTTGTTGTTGTCGTTGTTGTTGTTGTTGTTGTTGTCATTGTTGTTGTTGTTGTCATTGTCATCGTTGTTGTTGTTGTTGTTGTCATTGTTGTTGTCGTTGTTGTTGTTGTTGATGTCATCGTTGTTGATGTCGTCGTTGTTGATGTCGTCGTAGTTGTTGTCGTTGTTGTTGTTGTGTTCTTCATTGTCATCGTTGTTGTTGTATTCCTCATTGTTGTTGACAACAACAACGTCTTCACCCTGGTCGAAGAACTATAATGGTTAGTGGGACCTATCTTCAAGCTACATCTCTGAGCCAGAGCTGTGCGTGTTCTGTTTCTTTCTTTAGATTTGTTCTTGGGGTGAAGGCGTGGAGTAGGTGGGAGACAATTGTGATTGTCGTTGATGGTGACTCGAACTTCAAAACTGCCATCAATCGGGAAAGGTACTTGCACATGACAGTACCTGTCCTTAGGCTTATTGCATGCGAAATGAAAAAGAAAAGAAAAAGAAAAAGAAAAAGACAGAAAAGAGAAGAAAAGAAAAAGAGAAAGAAAATTTGGGAGCAGAGTAAAAAGAAATGGGAAGGAGAAAGAAAAGATGGGTAGAAAATGGGGGGTCAGTATTTTCTTTTGACATACAAAGGGTTTATATTAGATGTGTACAAGTCTTGGGGGGGGGGAGGGAGGGGGCGGGAGCGGGGGGKGAGAGGGAGCAGGAGGGGAGGTAGTGTTTTGCCACTGTTAGACAGTTAATGCATGTAGAAACAGTCTGTCCGAGCCCCTTATGAGGGGGAAAGAAAAAAGACGAAGAAATTTGCTGAAGCAGCTGAAGTTGCTGAACCCATGTTAAAGAAAAAAGCGAACAAGAATAAAAAGGACGCAGTCAGAATGTAAGGAACAAAAAGAAAGAGGATGGCAGGTTGTGTGTGATGCATGGTCGGTAATCTCTTGCCATCCAATTTGTATCACCTGCAGGGGTCGACAGTGTGCCGGCCCGTGGCCGCTCTTGTGGGCACACAGTGGGCTGTTGGTTCGCGAATCCAACTGGGTCATCGGGGCTCGCCGCACCACTCGCCAACATGGGAACATTTTGAAGGTATAGGGAGTAATATCCAGACTAGATACAATCAGAATGTTAACGTTTGGTGAGCTGTGTGTGAGGGCCCACATTTGAAGTTAAGCCAGCAATGCCCCAAACGTAATGCTGGCGAATGTGTTCTCTCTCAATCGCTGAGGTGTGAGCCAGCAATGTCCCAAAAATGGCACCACCTCAGAGCACTCCGGGCAACATAGGGCTCCGAGGTGGTGCCATTTTGGAGGTGGTTTTGTGTGCAAAGTGCTGCTTTCATATCCTGGCAGGGTATGTTCTGATTGGCTGGGGGCTATAAGAGAAAAAGCGGGATTTTTTCCAGCAAGGTGGCGGTCCCCACCAATGGAAAAGACCCATCGAACTGGGAGGCCACTACTCGAGGCTGCTCGTATCACCTGGAACGGTGGTGCATCCCGAGCTGATGCTTAAAAACAAAGAAGAAAAACCGGAATAATTGGTAGATACCGCCCATGCGAAAACCTTTTTGGTTTGTGGCGCCCAAACTTTGCCCGTTTGGCAAGCAGGGCCTGCCGGAAAATGAATTAGGCACAAATACAGTGCCAGATTCGTTTTTCCGGTAGGAACAGACCAAGCGGTTGTGACCCAATCTCGGCTGCTAGATTTTTACATCCGACGGCCTGCAATGGCTGTGGGCCCTGCCTACCAAACCCTAAACGTTTGGGCGCAATAAACCAAGAAAGTTTTCGCATGGGGTGTATCTTTTTTACTATCTTACCAATTTCCTCCCAAAAAAGTGTGGTGCTGGTAAGTAGGCGAAAGTCTCATGAAACAGTTTGTGACAAGTTATGTTGTCAAGATACGTGTGTGTGTAGTGGCCCTTGCTCGACTACACTACACTCTACATACATTGGGACATTTTCTTAATCAGATACATTCAAAATGTTGGATTCATCTATAAATGCACATGGTCCAGAAAGCGTTCAAATGCATGCGAATGTTGTGCATGCGAGGATCGTTTGTTGTCCTCTACTCCCTCGCTGCCTATTCTTTACCGGGCAGCTCTCTTTGAGTTTATATATATATATATATATATAATATATGTATATATATAGGTCGTTAATGATGTGTGACAAAATATTAACAAGCATGTTAACCTATACCGTTTGCTGACTCTTTCTATCATCGTTGTTGGTTCATTGTCCTGCACATGCTGCTTCAGGTAATAGAATAGACGCTGCAACACTCTCGTGGCGGCTCCGCATAAGAATGCTGTTGGATATTGCCAGAGGGCTAAGGTAAGGTGCTTGTCTCTCTGGTCCGAACCATGAGAATATCATTCTCGCGCCTCTGGATCAGATCTCAGGTGGACATTGCTAGAGGGCTAAGCTAAGGTGGTTTAACCTTAAACCACCAGTACCCGAGGGGGTCTTAGGCCCCCTCTGGGGAGGCTCTGATGCAAATGCATATGGACCCGCGGCGCACCGATTCAGTCACCGCGTTAACGGCATAAAAACGTGGACGTACTGGTGGTTTAACTGCCACGTTCAAACCATATGAACCGGCAGAATGTTGGGACACCGGACAAACCCTCCCTGGGCAGTCCCCGTCTCGAAAAGGCGAATAGTGAACGAGTCTTCCCCAATATGATCTAAGCAGCGGAAAAAGAGGCCTAAACACACAAAAAAACCTCGCTACTCAACCCTACAAAGTCTTTCCTTTCCCTTCCCCCCTCAAAAAAAAAATATAAAAAAAAAAGTCCCCTAACACAGACCACTAACCCACTCACACGATCCCCCTAAGCCTCCCAACCTACGAAAATAGTACAAACCCTAAACAACAACAATGCTCCCTAAACCCTAAAAACGACACACACAAACCAAAAAAAAAAAAAAAAAAA